TACTGCTCTCTGACCTTTCGCTGCGCACCCACTACATGTATTCCCGCATATTATTGCCGGGTTGCTGAATGCATATTGCGCATCGGCCTAGCATCTGTGCTGACATCAATTCTGCTTTGCGCTATGCTCTGCGCCTCTTCGCTCTTACACGTTTGCCACTATCACAACTGTACAGTATATACTGTACTCTCAGCCCTCACGGTGCACGGCAGCTGTCCAATGAGAACACGGGGGCCCCAGAGCCGTGCTCTGAGCACGAGCTCAACTCACCTCTCCCCTCTCCCACCTCCGAGGTCACACAAGGGCGTCTTCTTCGCCACCACGGGCATTTTCGGAAACGCCCGCGACGTCACCTTCACCTTCCTGACCGCCGCAATACACTTCCTCCGTGCGTCCACCTCCTCTGCTTGCCCCCCCACCATCTTCCGCTCCCACGGCCACGCCTCGTACACGCCTTCCACCTTCGCCCACCCCCAGCTCTCTACCGTAATCGCCGCGGCGACCTCCTCCGCCCTCAAAAACGCTCTTCCGCGCGAATACTCCGTCCTCCCACCCCCACTTTGGCCAGCGGTACACACACTACGCAGTAAACGCGCATCTCTGCCAGCGACCGTCCCAACAACGCGCCATACCGCTCGCAATGCGTCTCACGCCGCCCGACCCTCCCCCGCCCTCCCCAACACCGACGTGACGTCGCGCAGGGCTGGCCAGCCCGCGGTGCCGTGGAAGCGCGTCTCTGTGTTGCGCGCGGCCCCGAGCAGCGTGACGCCGCGGCCTCTCGATGGCCGAGACGACAGCCGAGAATCCCGCACCCGTGCCGCGTCGACGACGTGCATTCCACCGGCCGCTGCCTCCGCGTCCAGCACCAGCACCGGCAGCAGGTTCAGCTCCGTCTACGACGGCTTGAGCGTCACGGCGTCCCGAGCACGGATCGCCGTCTGGCCCTATCGCTTGCCCTCGCCCAGCAGCGGGCCCGTCAGCTGCACCTACGCGCTGGGCCGGGCCACGTTCAGGCATTCCCTGCGAGCGATTCCGTGCTGCGTCGCGCATGCCGGCGCTTTCGGGGGCATTCTGATACGTGCGGCGAAAAAGGAAGTTGGCTACTCTGCGTTTACTTGTGTAGTACAGTTTCGTGCCACGACGTCTCGGAGAACATGACGACCGACTGTGCAGTCGGCTCCACCGCAGGTCGCTTTCGAGTCGATGTTATCAAGATTTGTTGCACGTATCTCATGTGAGGTCACTTTTCGATGTATTTATTTCTTGGTTTGCATTTTCTCGACAAGAAGGAGAAAGATGTCCGCACCACTGCACTTGACTTTGATGTGTAAAAGGAAAGAGACTTGTGAGAACTTAATTTTCTTCCTGGCCGTTTTTAGGAATGCCTGGAAAAGAAGTTTTTTAAACCACCTTAAAACACAGGTGAAAAGGGTCGAAACCCAAAGACTAGTTTTAGTTTAAAAAGGCAACTAGGGTCTCAATTTGCATGACATTCTTAGTTTTCTGCGTATTCAAATCAGCTATCCCAGCGTCCTGCAAGATGCTATTGCCGAAAACAAGTATGACGAAGAAATAATGCAATTTAATTTATATATGCTTGCAAAAACAGGGCTGTCTTCACATGAGGACAAGCCCCGGTCGGATAGACACAACCTCATATAAGGGCAAGACCCAGTCGGATAGACACGAGAGAAAGCGCGATATCTGGAATGGCGATTGTCGCTCGCGATGGCAGAGCAGCTCACCTTTTCTCAACATCAACAGTTGACTGTTGACTTCAACAGGGCATTGTAATCCGCACTGTAAGTCAAGCACTGATACCCAATCACTGCTCCCGATCCAAGATTATAACTGTAATCAACGTGCTCTCTGATTTTCCTTTCGTCATTGACCCGAGGAGCAGAAAAGATTCCCTCCTCTGTCACCGAGCCTTTGGCCCTTCACCGTCATCTCTCTCCTCTCTCCTCTCTCCTCTCAAATCCCCTAAACCTCTCTCCCTCCTCTCTCCCTCACGCGCCCCTCTCTCCACCAGCCCCGCCCTCGCCCGTCACCCCTCCCTTTGCCATGAAATTCCTCCGTCGCATATATCCTAACCCTCCCCCGCACCATGCCGCCCCGCCGCCCCATCCGCACCGGCGCCTTCCGCCCTAATGTCCCTCCCCATGCTCTCCCTCCTGCTGCTTGTCCTCCTGCCAGCGTCGCTGTCGCAGCCTGTCGCGCGCATCGTCTTTCCTAAATGGAACCGCGTCCCGGACGGCTGGACCCACTTCTCGAAGGACGCCCTCGCCCCGGGCGCCGAGTTCGGCAACGGCGGCCCCGCCGCCCCGCCGGAGTTCCACTTCTTCGTCAAGCAGAGCCCCTCTTTCGTCTACACCCTCCCGTTACCGCCCGGCCTGTACTCGGTTCACCTCGGCTTTTACGAGCGCTCGGCATGCGAGGTCGGGAAGCGCGTCTTCTACATCCAAGCCAACAATGTCAGAACTAGGGATATCGACATTTACAACCTCGCCGGGTGCAAAAAGCCCCTGATCGAGGTCCTCGACGGCGTCCTCGTGGGCCCCAACGCCGAGATGGTCATCAAGTCGCACAAGATCGCCGGCTACAAGACCATCCTGTCCAACTTTGAAGTCTTCGCCGCAAGGCCGCCGACTGATCCCTCCGCGGACCCGTCCACTTCCGCTTTGTCCACTCCGACCGCTAGTGTGACCGCCGCCCCGTCCACTTCCGCTTTGTCCAATCCGACCCCTAGTGTGACCGCCGCCCCGTCGCCCGCCGCGTCACCACAAACGTCAGTCTCCGCCTCTGTCACAAGCCCGAGTGAGTCTGCGAGTCCGTCTGTCGTGCCAATTCCGACCCAGCCGCCCTCGGACCAACCCGTGGCGAGGATTGCTTTTCCCAAGTTCAACGTTCCTGATGGTTGGACGAAATACGATGGTATCGGTGTAGAGCCTGGTTCTGAGTTCGGAACGTCAGGTGACCAGACGATCCCCATTGCGTACAGGAGCCATATTAAGAATCGCGCCGGGTTTACGTATACACACACTTTGAAGGAGGGGGCATACGACGTGAAACTTGGCTTTTTGGAGTATATCAGTAGCGGATGTGTGTTGGGGAAACGCGAGTTCACTGCGTATGTCAACGACGTACCGGCAGGAACAATTGATGCATTCGCACAGGCAGGCTGCCGCAAGCCGCTGGACGTCATAGTGAAGAATGTCATCGTTGGTGCGGACGGCAAACTCAGGTTGAAGATGGTTAAGATTAACGGGTATGCCCCGTTTTTGGCAAACTTTGAAGTCTTTGTGCATGATTCCAACGCAGCACCGAGTCCAAGTCCGCCGAGTTCAAGTCCGCCGGCTATTGATTTGAAGATTAATGTCGGGGCCGAAGCGGAGACGGTGCTACCGATAGGTATTACGCAGAAGTATGATTTTCCTACTACCGTGAAGACTGGGCCTGGGTATGCACCGGACATGTACTACATGACAGCCAGGTATGGTAAGGATTTTATGTATTCGTTTGACCTCGCCCCTGGTGCATACGATATTACTCTTGGGTTTGCGGAGACGTATGTGCCACATTGCATGGATCCGGGGAAGCGCGTGTTCAAGGTGTATGTGAATGGCAACATTCAACTCGAAGCGTATGACATTTTCGCACAACATGGGTGTTTTAATGCACACGAGAAGACTTTTCTGTCACAGACTGTGGGGTCCGTTGTAACAAAGCCTTTGACGATTCATTTTATGTCAACGGCTGACAACGCCCAGATCGCATACATTCGTATCAAAACAGCAGTCAATCAATGCACTCCAGCTTCCTCCAACGGTGAATTGAAAGACTCGGACCATGCTGCGCATGCAGTTCCTGGGTCTTATCCGCCTCAGCTTTCTGCAAATGCGGCTACATCCTACGTCGATTCTAGAGGAGATGGATTTGTTACTGTTAGAATTGACGGCAAAGGAAGTCACACACATTTTTTCGATTCCTTGAACGGAATCATTGGCGAAATAACTGAGTACAAGTGGACTTTGGTCGACACTGGGCAGATCATTTCTACGAAGCAGGCGTTTTCTTACGACTTCCCGTTGGGAAGTACTCGTCTGAAGCTTGCCGTGCTCGACAACTCCTGTACCCGGGATGAAGCCGAGACGACGGTCACTGTGACGGGTGCTATCCAGCCAGGGCAATACTGTTACTACTACCAAGGTCTTGAAGAGCCGCTCGTAGGCGGGACGCTACTGGACTCCAATGTTTCCCCCTCGTTTGCGGCTATTTCGGATTCCCTATCCCTTAATTTTCCCTCGTTTGACTTTGATCAAACTATGTTTGGAGTCCGTTGTCTCTTCTTTCTTCACAGCGATGTAGATTCTTCTGCGAGCAAAATCTCTATCGAGACAGGAGGGTCTGGTATTGTCAAGGTGTACAAAGGCCAAGATCTCATCATCGATTCGATATCTTCGAAAGAAACTATCACAAGTCTCGCAGTTGGTTTGGTTGCCTTTGAGGTGATTTACCTGCGCACGGCAGATGTTACAGTGCCTGCAAAGCTGGAGTTCAAGGTTGATGGCATGACACCCGCCAATTCTCGAGTCAGTCACGACAGGCAGACGGTGCTCCCGATTCTCAGTGCTTTATCTCCGCATGAAGGGCAGATATCTGGTGGTACGCAAATCAAAGTCAAGGGATACGGCTTGTTCCAACCCCTGACTGTTATGTTTGGGGGTAAGCAGGTCAGCGTGTCTTCAGGCGGCGAGTCTCCAACTCAATTCTTTGTTGTATCTCCCCAGGCGAGCACTCCAGACGCGGTGCCAGTCGTCGTAAAGACCCCGGGAGGGGCATCGAGCAATTCCGTATTCTTTTCATATGGTAGTTCTTGTGACTCTGTCAAGTTCAAGGAAGCTTCGATGAGACATCGAACCAGCGACAGTGAGATTAAGGACATCGACTTCTTGAAGTTGCCAACTTGTGCAATCCTTGGTCATGACGGCAAGATTTACATGGGGACGCTAGGAGGCACAGTGCAAGTTCTCGGGTATCATTCAGATACTTTGATTGTCAACTCCCACTGCTATTCAAAGAAAATCAAAGACAGCAAGTTCACAAAAAATAACGAACCGGCAGATCGGGATATTCTAGGCATTACCATCGACCCGCGGGACGTGGAAATCCGACCGTATGTGAGCACAAGCACATTGTATTGGCTGGACAAGAAACGTCTAGACAACTCTCCCATCAATTGGCGGAACGGCGCAGTGGATCGATTAAAACCGGGGACGGAGATGTCGGATCCGAAGGTATGCCTCGTCATGGACAAGAGGATTATCAGCAATCTTCCTGTATCGAACCATGACCATTCCGTGAACGCTTTGATGTTTGACCAAAAGGGCGATCTACTCATCTCTGTTGGCGGCTTTACCAATATGGGGCTTCCCGGCTACAAGCTCGGAGGCTACTGGGAGACGCACTTGTCGGCTGCAGTGCTAATCGCGCGCACAAGCCTAGGCGATGTATTCAACGGCAACTTGGAATACACGACGGATTTAGTGCGTCACGCAATGCTCAAGAAGGGCGATGTCGAAATATTCGCAACCGGTATCCGAAACGGCTTCGCGATGACGCTGACACGCAATGGAAACATGTACCTAGCCGACCAAGGCCCCAACTGCGCCTTTGGTGACACCGCAACGGACTGTGACGCCGACTATGATGAGCAACGAGCGAAGAATTGGGACCCGTCTGCTGAAATAAACTGGCAAGGCCTGGTCAAGCATGGGTGGAACAACTGCCCCTACGCTGTTGGTCGCCCAGACAAGGTTCTGCATCTTTCAGAGGGTGCGTACTACGGCCATCCCAACGTGCAGCGCGGTTTGCAAATCGATGAAAGCGAGCATGAATGTTATTGGGTTGACCCGTACACGGGGCTACCGGCTGACAAGAAGAAGAAGCCGTCATTGTTCAAATACAAGAAGCCACTTGAGTTGTTCAAGAGTCCCGTAACGGGGATTGCGGAGTATCAGGCAAGCCACTTTTGCAGCAAGCTCCGTGGTAACCTTATATTGTCGACATACAAGGACGGAAAGACCTATCGATTGGGCGTAGACGGTTCAAAAGTAACGCGTGAGGGCGAAAAGCTTTCAGACCACGGTGGCTTAACATTTGTGCAAAACGCACGCGGTGATCTCGTGTTTCCCCGCCTGAGCAAGAAGAATGTGTTTGTTTTGCGACCAGATGTGTCAATGCGTGCGGAGCTGTTCGTGACAGGCGTCGCGCCAGTGCGACACGGGAAGAATGGAGGCACGATGATCACGGTGGCAGGGCAAAACTTTGGCATGGATCCCAGCGTGATGGTGGGCGGAAACTCCTGTGCCATAGCGATGAGCTCGAAGACGGAGATTAAATGTATGGTTCCGGCTGGGAGTGGATTAGTGGATGTTGAAGTGGTCGCTGTGGAGGGAGAGAGTGGCACGTTGGCAAACGCCGTTTTATACATGGAGGTAGGATGAACTTGCCAAGTTACAGCATCGTAAATGTTAGTTTTGAACCACGAGCGCGTTCCTTCTTGTAGAGCATGAGTACGCGCACAGGCGGTTGACTTCTAGCACCCAACAATGAAAGAGAATCACCACGATACCTCGCGAACTGAGGGATCGTAGGTAATCCGAAAAGTGGATAGGCCCGTCATATCAAGCGCGATGAATGTTTGTAAGAATCTGGAATAACAAATAGAGCAGGAACACGTTCCCCCTTCTGTGTCAAGTACATGCAGACAGAAATGAATACGTCGATTCCTTTACGTGGAAACATCTATGGGAATGGTGAAGTGTCTACAATAGAAGGGATGTGACTTCTTGACTACGAGGCTTTCTCCCATCTTCAATATTCTCAGTCCGGTTCTTTCGAATCTTTTGGTTTCTGCTCCTTGAGAAATTGAGTTCGATGAGAAGACGCACTCCTGGCTGCCTACTTGCGGCACGCACATGTATATCCACGGCGAGTCGTAGTGGGCTTCCCCGGCTTGCCCCCCTTTTTCGGGGCGGGTTTGGGGAGGTTGCATGGAACAACCTTGCAACGCTTCCCTTTCGGTGCACGGCGGCACTTGCTAATCGCGGCACCTCTAGACCCGCAGGAGGCGCGCCCCTTGTGAATGGTAGTCTCAAGATCTTGGTGCGTGGGTGCCTCCATGTCCATTGCGGAGGCGATACAGAAGAGAAGGACGGCAAGGAAGAGCGTGAAGGTGATCTTGATCATCTTGTGTTCAAAGGTGTCGTGAGCGTAGAGAAATACGATGTGAGACTGAAGAGTAAGACTTGTAGAGTGGGGTGAGTAACAGAAAGTAGCGGGGAAGGGAGATGGCAAGTATTATTTATAGTGTTTCAGGATTCAAGCGATGCCACGAATAGGTGAATCCGTCTTGCGTAGCAAGAAGCATTTTCCATCCAATACCTCAACTGCAAGCCGTAAACAAGATTCGAAGAGGAGCTGTTGTTGTAAACGATTGTTTTTGTTGAACTAGACGGCAAAATGATACCAACATGTCTCCATTCGTACAGAATAAACAGAAAGCTGTCATCTTGCTGTCCAAGGCTGGGGGAAACGTTTGGCATGCCGCCAGATAATGCAAGGTCAAAAGGGGTTCTAGCACGGGACAGATCGTGTTCCTGTTCCTGATAAACCTGCTATAAGGGACAGCGTTTCTAGGATGGTACTGGATATTTTAGTCGGCGAGCACAACCCTTGAAATTACGCAGAAAGTAGCGTTGATGGATACCAAAAAGTCCATCAGAAAAATGCACAGAACCTCAACGGTATTGAACTAAGAAACATTGGTCGGTTTCAGGTCGGTCGGTGGGAAGCAGTGCGAGAGGTGATGTGGTAGGCGGCTGCAATTCTGCGGATTCGAAGCTGCATCGCTGTCCTTGATGCGCTTTTACATTTCACTGGCTAATTGATCATTCACAAGTCTCCTTTACCTTTATCATACTGCATATGGTTTCAAGTATCCGGGCGAATTCATGGACCTTTTGTCCATCTGTGACTGTAACTTGGAACACATTGTCTCGAATGGCGTACCTGGAGGGGAGAACACAGTTTCCAGGCCAAGAGCCGCGCGTCTAGAATCCTCGTGTGCGCAAAATTGCCAGTGTTTTGGATCATCCCTTGCGCCGTTAGTTATACAGCAGTGTCCGAATCACTCTCATAGATGGCTTACCACACAGGGCATCAGCTCTCAAGGTTGGCTTGTGATTACCGGTCGAGTGAGAGAGGGATCCAGGCTTCTGTTGCGAACATGGCAAATGCGACAAAGTTCGAACGAGACCTCAGGAAAGGACAGCAATGCTGCACGCCTTCATTGGAGTCGATAGGTTTTGCGCATTTCATGCGTGCAAACGCATACCTACTGAACTTCAGCGACCGATTATGTGCATGTCGTCTCCTGGAAACGTCTCATCTGCTTCTAACAGCTGACATACAGAAGAGACACAAAACACACTCGACGAGAGATGGTTCGCGCAAAGCAGAACGACGAATCATTTCGTGGCGCGTGAGGGCTTTTTAGTATACCGTAGTTGTGTGGATGGAGATCAGTTTGCTCTCCTAAATGCACAAAAGTATGAATCTGTGAGTTAGCAACTCAGGAATGGAGATAGTATTTCACCACGTTGATTATTGGAAGGAGGATGAAAAGTCTTTTCGTGTCCAGAATCGGAAGAATCCCGGAGAATAGTTTCTGTACAAAAACACAGAATGCCGAAGAGGACTAATGGCGTGCACTTATTGTCTAGGCTAGAGGACATTTTATGTTTTATGAGGGCAGAATTTTATTGTGGCAAAAATAAATAAGGCGATTCTTTTGTTTAAAAGGTTTAATGGATACCATCTTCATTGTATGGGCCTTCGGCAGTAATATATTTGATTCATAACATAGACATAAAATTTTGAAAATACTAAAACACCAACAGTTCTAACAAATATGTCCTCGGGGCTGTTTCGGCATCGCATCCATTTCTACATATTTCTCATGTCACTACACAGTTTTGGTTGTGGTTGATAGCCCATGAAGCGACTTTCTCCACAACGGGCAGAATTGATGCTTTTGATTACAGATGCGCAAACCGCACCAAGAACTCGTTATCAATCAGGTGATGAAGAAATTAAATCGATAGCTCGATGTACGAATAGCGCCAATAAAATGCGAAGTATCTCATATTTGCACCTCCTCCCCCTGATATAAAAAAATATTTGAACGGACACATCCAGTACTACCTACAATAAAACTCGATGTGGGCGTCATGTACATGTATCTGCGGACGTAACCATGTTATTGACATGTTTTTGAAAACATTTTGGGTTTATACCTTAATAAAAACTATTGTTCCCATAGCATCTCACCATTGCTCCACGACCACTAACGAAAACTATGTTGCAGCCACTGAGCTGTTTATCACCTTCTAACTATATGTAAATACCCCAACGTGAGGAGCTGCAACGATCTCGGCACTTTAGCAAGCAACTACTAATTCAAACCTTTCGAAAAGTCACAACTCATCTGCAGTGCATAGGACAAAAATGACTAGCAAGCGATCGCGCAACAACCGAAGTGACGAATCTGGCTCATCCGAAAAGAATTTGAAGAGGCCCCGCAGGTTCACCAATCTACTGCAAAACCCTACTCCCCCTCGAACGCGCTCCCCTTCTCCTCCCGTAGCTGACTCACTTCAACCACATAGAGAACGCCGGCCTGAATCCCCTGCGTCAGATGAAGGTGTTTCCCACAGATATAAACAAAAGTCTCATTCAGACATGCCTCCTGTACCGGGATCATCCTCTCATCCTTTTCGGTGCAGGGAGTGCAATGCAGTTTTCATCACAAGAGCAAAATACGATGAGCATGCGAATGACTATCACAACCATAGAGAGCGATATTATTGCGATTATTGTGATAGGAGTTTTGCCACCAGGGAAGTTCTTAGAACTCATTGTCGCCAACAGCATAAAAATAAAAGGGACCAGTAGATTAAAAGGACCAGTAAAGATCTATGACCTCACCTGATTTTTGGTTTCCGTCGAATAAGGATTTGAATAGTGTAGTAACTTGAAATAAATATGTATTTGAAACTCTTTCTGTCTAAAATTGAAGTGAAATTCCTCTTCTATTCTCTCTGCATATTTGTATTAATACTACTTATCTATACTGGCGAAGACTCCCCATTAAAGTACAAAAATATGCAATTTGCAGCCCCACTTGTTTCTCTACCGTACATGTCAAACTTTCAGCGGTCAAGGTCGTTCCGAACAAAACGTTTGCGGAGCCAGCACCCTAGAACCCTGATATTTGGCATGAATGGATTAGTTCAATGGGAGGAAAACATTTCCAATAATGCTTTTTATTAAATGACGAATGCTCTGTAAGGCGAATTCGTCAACTGTGCAAGGGTGTAGAAACGTGCCGTGTTCCACATGTTCCGGGCGGTCGACTATTTTGTGTGATAAGGTACATTTGCAAGCCACTCCTCACACCTTTTATAATAAACCATCCTGTAGCCCCTTTGCGTATGAGAGAGTAACAAAAGGACTCTCCTTGTCGTCTCGCGTAACTCACTCGTGTTACTACTATAGATATCCGCCGCAGTTATGGATGAACTTTACACTTCCCCGGATTTCAAACGGGATCTGGTCCTTTTATCGGGTCCGTAGTCCACCTCCACCGGCATAGGACGATTGCCGACCATTAACATTCCTTCTGCTGTAGCGGTTGCACCACGAAACCAAATGACATAGGTCCCTGTACGATTCAACGGGTATAGAATGACGCCACGGTTCGTCAGGGGGCTCTACAAGCACAAGTACTGCGATACAAACCTTTCTTCGATAATTCATCAAAAATATTGATCCTTATTTTTCCGCAATACACCTTCAACTACTGCTTTATAACTAACGGCGCAAGGGATGATCCAAAACACTGGCAATTTTGCGCACACGAGGATTCTAGACGCGCGGCTCTTGGCCTGGAAACTGTGTTCTCCCCTCCAGGTACGCCATTCGAGACAATGTGTTCCAAGTTACAGTCACAGATGGACAAAAGGTCCATGAATTCGCCCGGATACTTGAAACCATATGCAGTATGATAAAGGTAAAGGAGACTTGTGAATGATCAATTAGCCAGTGAAATGTAAAAGCGCATCAAGGACAGCGATGCAGCTTCGAATCCGCAGAATTGCAGCCGCCTACCACATCACCTCTCGCACTGCCTCCCACCGACCGACCTGAAACCGACCAATGTTTCTTAGTTCAATACCGTTGAGGTTCTGTGCATTTTTCTGATGGACTTTTTGGTATCCATCAACGCTACTTTCTGCGTTATTTCAAGGGATGTGCTCGCCGACTAAAATATCCAGTACCATCCTAGAAACGCTGTCCCCTATAGCAGGTTTATCAGGAACACGATCTGTCCCGTGCTAGAACCCCTTTTGACATTGCATTATCTGGCGGCATGCCAAACGTTTCCCCCAGCCTTGGACAGCAAGATGACAGCTTTCTGTTTATTCTGTACGAATGGAGACATGTTGGTATCATTTTGCCGTCTAGTTCAACAAAAACAATCGTTTACAACAACAGCTCCTCTTCGAATCTTGTTTACGGCTTGCAGTTGAGGTATTGGATGGAAAATGCTTCTTGCTACGCAAGACGGATTCACCTATTCGTGGCATCGCTTGAATCCTGAAACACTATAAATAATACTTGCCATCTCCCTTCCCCGCTACTTTCTGTTACTCACCCCACTCTACAAGTCTTACTCTTCAGTCTCACATCGTATTTCTCTACGCTCACGACACCTTTGAACACAAGATGATCAAGATCACCTTCACGCTCTTCCTTGCCGTCCTTCTCTTCTGTATCGCCTCCGCAATGGACATGGAGGCACCCACGCACCAAGATCTTGAGACTACCATTCACAAGGGGCGCGCCTCCTGCGGGTCTAGAGGTGCCGCGATTAGCAAGTGCCGCCGTGCACCGAAAGGGAAGCGTTGCAAGGTTGTTCCATGCAACCTCCCCAAACCCGCCCCGAAAAAGGGGGGCAAGCCGGGGAAGCCCACTACGACTCGCCGTGGATATACATGTGCGTGCCGCAAGTAGGCAGCCAGGAGTGCGTCTTCTCATCGAACTCAATTTCTCAAGGAGCAGAAACCAAAAGATTCGAAAGAACCGGACTGAGAATATTGAAGATGGGAGAAAGCCTCGTAGTCAAGAAGTCACATCCCTTCTATTGTAGACACTTCACCATTCCCATAGATGTTTCCACGTAAAGGAATCGACGTATTCATTTCTGTCTGCATGTACTTGACACAGAAGGGGGAACGTGTTCCTGCTCTATTTGTTATTCCAGATTCTTACAAACATTCATCGCGCTTGATATGACGGGCCTATCCACTTTTCGGGTTACCTACGATCCCTCAGTTCGCGAGGTATTGTGGTGATTCTCTTCCATTACTGGGTACTAGAAGTTAAGTACCGGTGTGCATATGATTCATTGAGCGGTATCTCCTTACACCAGATAATATTGTTAAGTATACACCTGTACTCCTCAACTCTTCCTCCCTGGTTCTACGAAGGGAAGACGTAACACGTTATCACTGTACTGTGTTGACAGCGAAGATAGAGTAGATTCGGTATAATCGGACCCGTAGTCAATGGCCCTATCTAAAAAGTTACAGTGTTGATTTCCTCAATTCAGCAGAATTGAGGCCGACTACCTTACATAATCTGGAACGCACTGAGATGGTATCTACAGATACAAAGTAGTATAAATTTGGTCTCGTGCAGCAACTCTAAGGAATAAAACACACAACTTCAACAAATATGCTGCTGTCCCATGCAAAAGTCCAACGCCATTTGTCGATGGCCATTTCGTTGGAAAGTTGGTTGAAGGAAGGAATGGATTTCTCGACCGACCGTAGAAGGGTTTCTTTTTTCTACTTTGCTAGCTGGATAGCTAAGTAGAAAAAAGTTCATCTCTTTGGGAACTAAATACATTTGGAGCAGGAAAGAATTTCATGAGTTTAAGGACGGAAAATTAAGTTGAGAACGTACTTGTCTATAATCAGGTGTCACACAAAATTTCTTCTATCTATCTTGATTTGCAATTCTGATGGACGACAGAACAGGACATTATAATTTATCCTTGCTGCGACGATCCACACGACCAAGGTGGCTACTGAGGAGCTGTGCATACAATGTAGTACGGCATGTACTACTGCAGACGAAGTGGCTTCAACTTTGTTGATAACAGCAGTAGTGTTATAGAAAGTTGTGGGTTGTGTTGAGGTGGCGAGTTTCCCAACTCGGCCAACTTACTGTAAGTCCCCTTTTATAGATTTTCGTACCCCTCTAAGCAGCAATAATAATGAAGATAATAATAATAATGAAGATTCCTACTAGACCCTTCAAGAAAATTCTAGATAGAAATAGAAACATTAACGTTCGACTTCAAACGCTGGAAAGATCTTGAGTAGTCCGACGTAGAAACTAAACATAAACGTTTAGATAACTCTATTATTATCTAGATTGTTGCACTTGCAACATTACGTGAAAAGATGTTACTTCCGTGCGGTTAGGAATCGCTATATGGTGTTCTAGGCGTTTATTGAGTCTGGAGTGAAGCGCTTTTCGTGTACTAAGTACTCGACTACAATGCAATCACGGCTTGGTAGTGAGAGGGATGCCATTCGTTGTAAACACTCTGTCAAAGAGAGTTGTCACTAGACACGAATTAATCAGAGTCCTTGAAAAGTCGCGGGCAATAGACTTCCTGCATTTCCCAAACATTACAGTTCGCTTTGATGTAAAGCAAAGGTGCTACAGTATTACACGTATTACAATGATCGATTAACACGTGTGATTCGTGGACATGATGCCACGATTTATCCTTGGAGCATAATCACCTCTTCTTTGATCGTGCCCCTCAAGCTCGCTCCTCCCTTTCACATTCCCCATGCGCATGCGGGCGCCATCCCCCAATCCCTCCGCCGCCATTAACGATGTCCCAGACGTCAGCCTCCTCTCAGCCCGTGTCCCCCTCAACGTCAACACCCTCGACACCCCCCGCCCCGTTCCGGGGCCCAGACGGCCTCCCCTCCTCTCTCTCCACCACCCTCTCCTCCGTGCTCCACCCCGGCCATCTCTGGTACTCCGACTCCTGCTCCCTCCCGCTCCCGGGCCTCTCAATCTCCGGCCTTCCCGATCATCTCGCCCTCCCCCTCACCGAACACCAGGCTGCGCAACTCGAGGCCCTCGATCAAGACCCCCTCGCGGGCAACACTTCTAACAGTTCGCTCCGCATCCCGTCGGACAAGGTCCATTTCTGTCGCCCAGACTGGGACATCGAGCTCGACTATCTTTGCAAGATTGCCGTCGGAAAGCTCGGCCTGCACAGCGCAGACGCCCAATGCGTTCTCGACGCCCTCTTTCTCAACCGTGCGGGTGACTGCTTTGCCCCCTTTGCCCCAGCGGACGAAGACCCGGATTTGTTTGCGACCATCCTCATCCAACTGCCCTCAGAGTACAAGGGCGGCGAACTCGTCTTCTCTCACGACGGAAAGACGGAGGGGTATCGGCACGACGCCGACAATGGCCTGTCCCGCTTCAAGTCCTTCTACTCAGTCTCGTACGCCCACGTGCAGCGGGAGCTCAAGCCCATCGAAAGCGGCTTCCGCCTCACGTTGCAGTACAAAATCGTCTGGCTGCCACCCGTGCCCAAGCCGATGCCGAGCGTTGACGCCATTGCCGAGTTTGCAAACGCGTTGCAAGGCTACGTCGACTACTATCCGGCGGGCAACTGGCATCTGGCCTTTGAGCTCGCGTATGAGTACGACTCGGAGGATTTGTTGACGCACGGGATTTTCACCCTCTACGCGGAAGACTGGAGGAATGTCAGCGCCTTTTCGACCGCGGCTAGGAGCATCGGCATTCCGGGCCTTGACTTTGTCATTTGTAAGCTGCAGTGGGTGGAAGGGCATGAGACTGCGTTGACCGACGGCTCGGATCAGGACTTGCCAACTATGAAGGTAAAGGAGGCGGTGTGGAAACTGGGGGCCCCGTGCCCTTTTAACATGAACTGGGTCGACTGGGATTCGGTTGTCGATTTGTCGTACGTACATCATGCTGATGCTGGGAACGGAGTTGATAGTAATGACAAGGAAAAGCCACACACGACGGACGCCATCGTACTCTGGGCGGAGGATCGAGATGCGGAGTCGTTGTTCAAGAGCGACAGATACAGCGTCAGGATCTTTCTCGACAACTGCACGGAGTGCAAGCCGGCGGAGCGCGCGAGCCGCATGCTCGGTTGCCTGGAGAGACGAGGGCCGACAGATGACAGGGCGTGGCCGGAAGTGTGCGAAGTGTTGGACTTTTGTCATCAGGAGGAGTGCCATGAAGAGGCGTCACGTGCCATTATGTTTGCGTCACGCATCCCAGAGACAGAAGACTTCGAAGGCGTTTTGTTCTGTTATATTCGGAGTCATGGCTGGGACGTTGTTGCTGACGCTTGCACACATTACTTGTGTAACCTTGAAGGGGTTGACCTGGACCACATCGGTTGTCGATTGCGCGCTCTGTTTCAGTTGTATCCATCTTTGCCAAATCGGGTTGCGCTTGATTCGCTATCTCAAGTTGTAGCGGTTCTTGAGTCGCATTGGATGAGATTTGCAGACGGCACCAGTGCTCTCACGTTTACCCCGAGAGACTGTAATGAAGAGAGTCTGGAGCGCTGGGTACCGTTGATGTCGATTATTGGTGAGCTGGAGCTCAACTCAACCGACGAAGAACTAGCCACTCTGGCCTCCATTGTTGATCGTACGGTTCACATCATTAAGGCGTTTCTCATCCGAGAGATCAAACCACTCCATCATCTACTATTCAAACACAATCCCGACAGCCGCTCTACGCATCTAAAGGAAATTCGCGAAGAAGTGAACACGATCTACATTGCGGAACGAGCGCAGGAGTTCGAAAGGCAGAAGGATTACGTTATTGAGAATAGGAGAGCTTTCCGTATCAGACCAGAGGACGATGGCTACGAGCGCTTTCCGAGTGTAGACAATATGGTGGAAGACTGGTTGTCCTTCCTTTCTCTGTGCATTGAGATGCAGGCATGCGACAGCAACGAGTCTTTGGATATCCCGTCACAGTTAAAAGCCATTATGGCATGCGTTGAGGACTTGTCCGAGAGCGAATTGGAAGCACTCAGCGTGGCAATAGCCACGGTGGATGGATCGATTGAAAGCAGTTTTCTTTCAGAAATGGAGGTTAAGGTTCGAGATCTAAGTAGTACAATTAAATTTGTAGACGTTGCCATGTAGCATACCTGTAAAGCGTTTTCTCTGCCAGTGATGCAGCTTGAATTCTTCCGTCAACGAGGACTCTCCTCTACCTGAAGCCCCGCGTGCTCGGCGCTGGCAGCTTTGATCGGTGCGATTTGCGGATTTGCAACAGACAGGCCACCCTACAGCATGGGCAATGACTCTGCATTCGTTGCCGCAGCGGCAACACATGGTCCGCACCCATCCCTTGCGTCAACTACGCATGTCATGCTGGGCATTCCAGCCACCTACAGTGTACACTATAGAGGGTTGCGCAAGACTTGCCGACGTACGCAAAGACCTCACGCGAACATTGTTCTTTCTCCTACTTCCGTATGGTAAGCGCGGATGTCCGGCTGGTTGGACAGCACCACGCCCACGGATAGAGCAGCTCCAGGGGTGCTGGCTCGAACGGCAGGCGGAGCGGAGCTGAAAGGATCGGTAGGTCTACCTTTCCAACGGCCGATACCTTCGGCGGTTGGCATCACGTACGAGTTGTCATTTGCGTCATTTGGCTCATTTTCCTTGCCGGTCACTGCCTGAGATGCTCGTCAAGTCTACAGTTACATACCGTACATGGGCTTACACGAAAGCACCCGGTTGAGCGCAACGCAGCTACGGTGGGTGTGTAGTCTAGTCACAGGGTGCGATGAGCTCTTCTCCTTTACATTTACTTTGTTCACTTGTCGTCGGCTCTGGTCTCCCTAATGACAGCCTGTCCACTGCGTTCAGAGTCTGAACGCATAGGACAGGCTGTCATTAGTAGCTACGGTCGGCCTCTGCCAGTACTGTAGCATTACAGCGGGGGCCTGATGGTCATTACAGCTCCGACCAGCCTGTATTGAGCAGCGAGCGCGTTGATTGGCCACTTATGATCAACGGAAAATTAAAAACAACCAATCCTGTCAGCCAAGTATCGATATCCAGCAATGCAATCTCGGAGTGTCTTTTCTCTCATCCTTCACCGACATCCTTCACCGACATCCTTCACCGACATCCTTCACCGACATCCTTCACCAACACCTCTCTTCTGCCCCTCCAAGCAGGACGATGACCTACACTACAGTACATACTACCAACTCACACCCACCGCCCCGGATGCGAACCGCGCGTCCCCGAGTCCATCTAGGTCGCAAAGGCCTACGCCATCGCGGTCTAGATGGACCCAATCCCCAACTGCACAAATATTTCCATCTCTTTCAAAATCTTCTCCGCCTCCCGTCCCGTCCCCTGCCCACACTCCCGACTCCTCTGTACTACGAATAAACCCTCATGAATGCCTCAGAACGTTCCTCTGTCACCAGTAATACCAACACACTGTTCTAGTCCTGCTCCCGTTGAAGCCGAACCAGAGAAACGAGCCGGAGAAGGAGACGACCAAGGGAGAGAAAAGGTAGGCGAGAACGGCGGGAAGAAGAACCAGCATACGATGCGCTGTAGTTGATCAGCCTGTAGTAGTACGCCTTCGGCATACCGAGGAAGCGGCTGAGAGAACGCAATTTGTCAAGGGGCGAAGTCTACGTCCTGATTCTAGACATAGCACAAGAGTATTAGCGTACGCTTGTGCAGATTGAAGGACGGTTAGGACGAAGGCGTCGAATGTAGTTAGTCTATTTCAATACCGTAGCTTGCTTGCATGCAGGTGACGCGATGAGCTGACCCGCGTTTGAATTCGGGCCGGAGAGGATTCAGGGGTGAAATGAGATGCAATACAAGTGTACACAAATTTACTCTGGTCTGCATGGAGTCTATGTGCACAAGTTGCTGATGTCAGCAACTTGTGCACAACATCGTCAACAAGACTGCTTCCCCTGATTCATGCAAACGCCTGGACCGTCTTTACTTGAGTCTGCGCAAGCAAGAGAGAGAGAGAGAGAGAGACACGCTCTGTGTCCTCGCCCGTACCTCATACCCGACAGCCGCGCACGAAGCAACGCGCCCGCCGCCTTGACGGCCTTTTTTCACGAGCTTTCGCTCTCTTGCTCGGCTATGACATGATTTACAGGTTTCCAGCCGTCATCCGTACACGGTTCGGCCCTACTGTGCACGGGTGACATACAATGCCACCCGGCACTCCGTCCATGTACGGCTTTGTACTACAGCGGCATATGATTTATGACTGCCAGAACGATGCGACACAACCGATACCTACTGTTCAAGATTTTGTCTACGCCATCATGAGCGGGCCCCTTGCAGAGCATCGGATACCGGCGAGGAACGCATCGCCCACGGCTGGAGCCTCACGCAAACTCAGCGTGGTCGCCACGGCAATGTTACTGAATTTCCGTGTGTAGGCAGTAAACTCAGCCCCCTCGAGCTCCTCCATTACGTCAAAAGACTGCGATTGCACGTCTTCAGACCCATCTCCGTAAATCTCAACAATGAAGGTACGTTTGGGCTCCTTGCTAAAATTCTCAGAGTAAGTCTCCGCGTAAAACAGGGTGCAGGCATATAGTCCGGCTTGAGGCACCTTAAAATCATAACCCCAAGTTGAACCGAGAAGACCGTACCGATGCGATTTGTAAACCTCGCCATATTTTTCGTCTCCGACAATTTCTGCGTCCTTCACTTCGAAAATGGACGTCTCTCCGACGATCCAATCGATAGGATCGGCCTCGAAACCGCGCGTAGTATTGCCTCCGATGTTGTACCCGAAGTTGTAGACTTGAAAGTCGGGCATCTCAGAGTCCGGGGAGGGCTCCTCGGTGCTGCTAGGCAGTTCGGCGATAGGGGCAGTGGGAAGCGGGACGGTTGTTTCTTCCGGAAAGTCAGGCATGATGACGAATGGGCCCTCGTCGTCAGCCATGACTTGGGGAACCACGCCATCATCTTCGGCAACAGGTTCCGCTGGACCTAACTCCGAGATTGCAGGCGGGTCGATTGAAGGTACTTCTTGCGTTTCTTCCACGGGAATCGTCAGCGGAACTTCTTGACGTAAAGAACGATGGGTGGGGGTGGATTGCACGGCCAAAGCTAGGGCACATAGCGAGAAGATGGCCAGAAGAGTCTGAGAAGTCATGATAGGATAGTGATAGGGGCGATGGTTGATGGTTGTTATAGTAAAGTTAAATTGATGAGGCAATCTTTGAGTGTCGTTGGCTTTCGTAGTCAGAAGCGTGCGGGCTCCCCCTCTTATACTCGCCTCAAGACTGAAATGTACACGAGCTTTTGCTGTTGCCACCACAGCGGAATGACCACACACGCTACCAGATGCTTCCAAAATTGGCCCGGTTTCGCACTACATGCAACCTAGATATAGACAGGGCTGGAGCGGGTGGGGCATTTCGCGGAAAGCTTTGCCCAGTGAATCCGCATTGTGGCAAGTTGCGGACGTCTCCATGACACCACGATACCATGAACCACGATATCTCCGAGGCCAGGTTTGCTTGATGGGTATCCTGGGCACAGCGACATGCGCTCGGATTAAATATGATGCGATTCACAAAAGGCCGCTGCGAAGGCGAGGACAAGGGCAAGGTTATGGTACTTGCTGTAGAGAATGTAGAGGGGGGCTATGAAGGAAGCGCTTGACATTTGCAGGGGAGGAGGGATATGTGCATCTCGGCATGGCCACGTGTCGACCCAGGCTTCAGGCCCAACTGTGATCACTTACATGTCACGGCAAAATATTCGACGAGAAGGGTAGATACTTTGGTTTATGCAGCGGCCCAGCGTGAGCGGGTTGGCCTTCTGCAGGACCTTTTGTTCGGTTAGGGCAAATTTGCGCTTTCTTGAATAAAAATCGGGGCTGGTTGGCATCGGCCTGTGGGACAGAGGCCCCGCAGCGTCTTCTGTGGTGGAGGCAATGGGCAGCATGGATGAACCCGATGGTGCCCCCTGTCCTTGCGCACTCGGAGTGGTAGAGAAAGTAAGGGAGACTGTGTTTATTTTGCTCGCTGCGACAGATGACCAGAATGCAAACACTAAGCATGGTAATACTGTATCTACAGGCATAAATTTATAGAGTCTATTGTACCCTTCGAGGTTGCAAAGGTACTTTGCAACCTACGGCGCGTGCGGTCTAGCTTGTACTATGGGCCTGCACTGCGAACACGCCCGTGTATCGACGACACGTACACATAGGTACGATAGCCTTCTTCGCGGGGCAATGAAGCTATGCCAACTTCAATTTACCTGCCATACCAAGCGCGTCGCAAGTAACTGGCAGCAAGAAGAAGGCATCACAAGCAACCTAACTCAGCAAGCCGCTTTGTTCCTTTTCTTGCGTTTACGCACTTGATCGTGCTTGGGCGCGAGCGGCTTGGGTTTCTTCGCCTTCGGACTCGGCTTGGGGCCATGACGCCGGTTGCCGTCGGAGGACTCTGGAGGCGTGCGGAACGTAGGTGGTGGCGGGAAGCACATATCTGGGAAAGGCAGATGCGGAAGCAAAAACATGGTGGGGAGGCTTATATATACCGGATTTCGGATTTGAATGGGTGTGCGCATGGGTAGCAGCTGAGAATGTGCACCGAGTGCTTTGCGATCAGGGCGAACCCTGCAGGACCTGTCCGAAGCAGGGGCTATCGACAGGGGGACGACAACGGCGGGTATTGTGATATGGAAGTTTGGGGCAGGAGAGTTTTGGTCAGAAGGGATATAGTGGCGTTGACCTTGCGAGTCCTTGCCCAATTACCTTGGTTGCCTTCACATCTGCTCGGACCCGAGGCTGGCAGGGATGAAGGAGCTCTGAGGTCAGTGTGCGCATTGCTGGTGAGGGAGAACCGTCTATGCGATTGGATGGTCGGTTCTTGGATGGTCGGTTCTTGGATGGTTTCTTCTACAGTACGTACCCTTGGTACTGTACTTGTAGGAGAGACGAAGCGGCCTACGGTGCATCATTGCCAGAAAAACTATCATACTGTACACGTGTGTTTCATTGGCACGTGTAAAGCTTCCATGGTGCTGCCGAAATCCATTGCAGGATGAAACAAAGGGTTTGTGATGCAAACCACGCCGATCCAGCCAGAGGCACACAGATTATAAATGAACGCTCCCGAGACGGACGCGCGTTGCGTCGCCGGTCGTTGTGCTCCGTCTTTTCGCTCCTCGCACAGTTCTTTTATTGCCTACTTACCTTCGCCGTCGATCCCTCGGGAGAGTTTGCTCTCCGTTTCTACCCGCGAAGGGCTTTCTTTGCGCAATTGAGCGACAGACATACATTCCCTCCACGACAATAAATAGGTATTTTCGCTACCCAGGCCGACTCTGTCGGGCACAACTTCCGTACTTGGTGGTGGCGGTCTGTACCAACCGCTCTTCTAGTGTCTATCCGACTGGGGCTTGTTCTCATATGAATGAAGACAACTCTTTTTTTGCAATAATATATAAATTAAATTGAACACTTAAACATCTGTCTTTTCCTTGACGCACTTGTTGTCGGAAATAACATCATGCAGAACACCGGGATAGCAGCTTTGAATACGCAGAAAGTAATCCAGATTCAGTACATAATCCTTTTTTTAAACTGGCCCTTTTGGCTTCGAAGTTATTTTACATGCGGTTTTAAGGTGGTTTAAAAAAGCTTCTTTTCCAAATATATCTAA